GGGGGGGTTTGAATGCGATAAGTTATATCTCCATTATGATCGACGAGGCATAATAACTATTTTCTTTAATAATATAATTTAGTATAAATTTCAATCCGGACATGACTTTATCTGAATAAATTCCCAATCTATATCTATCTTTCAAGAAAGTGATTCAGGACGCTTCTTGTTTACTAACCAAGAAGAGTTACTCTCACGCCGTAAACAAAGCAAAGTTTTGCGTCTTTATATACAAACGCAGTTAAGCTAATCACAATACAGGTTTGACCTAGTTATTTACAGGCGTAGCTAGGTTATGTTAATTGGAATGCAAGTTTTGCGTAGCTATTTACAAGCACACTTAGGTTCACAGACAATGTACAACGTAAAATATATAGGTATCTTCAGGTTTACAAATATAGGTTTGCTGCGATATTTGATACATACAAAGCTATCAAACAGCATGTTTACACATAAACATGAAAACAAAGAGAATGGGTCAATTAAAATCTTTTCTTTGTTTACCTGTAAACTTCTTATTTGAAAAAATCAAAACTCGTCTGTATTGTATTTTGACGAGAAAAACTACAAATAAAAATTATTACCATTACCTTTTGACATAGAACATCTAGAATTATGCCACGTTTGTTCTTACCCCGGCTTAAGGACTTTTTTAAACAAAAAACTAAGCAAAAGCCTTTAGAAATTATCATTCTGTTTATGTTTTAGTGCCTGGTGGAACAGTGGTAATTATATTTATAATTATATAATGGAATTGAGTTTTTGTCACAAATTCCAATTTTATAGTACCAAAATCTCAACAACCAAATGATGCATACCTTTCATATTTCAAACTTACATTGTTTGATCCACCAGAATTCATAGTTTGAAATATCTACGGTCTACGATATTTGGTTTTACAGAAATTGAGATTTAAAAATCCGAGTTTGTGGCAAAGACTCAATTCAAGGGACTGTGATCCTCCATGTAAATATTGCAATGCCAGATTCTCAAAGGTATCCTCAAAAGCTTTTTTTTTTCATCAAGTATGAATTAGATATCAATGTTTATAATATTTTAAAAACGATTTTCACTTTTGGCCTTTAAACAAAAATGACTTGCGCGTTTCAATGCATACTGCATAAAAACATCCAGGAATTTTTGGAATTAAACATTTTAAAATCTAAAATACTACAATATCTTTCACATTATTGATCATATAAAGTTTTTAAGAGTACACTCAAAGAAATGTCGAATTTACATCTAACAAAACATCGGAGCCAAACTCAACCTAGCAGCATCAATCTTCAAATTTTGTTGCATGAAAATAATTATTCATCAACATTTGAATCCAGACAAGGATATCCCATTCTTTCTTGATCAGACCAAGGTTTACAAAGTACAGATACAATTACAACATGTCATGCACTCCTTAAATGGAGGGTCACTTGAAATTACGTCTACAGAATTGTGTACTGGTTGTATAGTAAATTTTGCAGGGTTACCCACAAAAGATGAGACTTTGAGACGTCTGTAAAATATTTTTTAGTCTATTTTTTTTAGTCTATTTTTTTAGTTTTTTTTTAGTCCATTTTTTAGTCTATTTTTTTAGTCTATTTTTTTGGTCTTCATTAAAGTCACATATTTTGTGTGTGTTGTGTATATAGACCCAGGCTAAGATGGCTCTCACCAACATAGAAGAGATACTACGCAGTGTAAAAGGAACAATGAACAATATTGTAAAGATAACAGGTATTAAAGGGACAGTACACATAATTTTCATGAAATATATGATATATAAAGTGGTAGGCGATTATATCAATATAATGAAGACGACTTTTTTATTAATGTTTTAATTGTTAACAAGCTTTTTTAGAATCACAAGTTTATACGTAAATAAAGAGTAGAATTTTTTAAACTTTACAGCTCCTCTTTGTTTCCATGTTTTTGTGTATCCATGCGGTTTAAAAGCTTGATATAAATCAAGATTGAAATCAAAAGTCGTCTTCAATATATTAATATTATCGCCTGCCACCGTTTGAAACATGAAATACATATTCATTTGTATTGAGTTCACAGTTTACACTATTCAAAACACTAAACAAAAGTTTCCTGGAAAAGTCTCAACTAATATCTCTATGCTCGAGACTTAGGGGGGACTTCTGGAGAAGAAGTTTCCATCTTTAAATTAGTTTCCATCTTTAAATTAGTTTCCATCTTTAAATTAGTTTTCACCTTTAAATTAGTTTCCATCTTTAAATTAGTTTCCATCTTTAAATTAGTTTCCATCTCTAAATTAGTTTCCATCTTTAAATTAGTTTCCATCTTTAAATTAGTTTCCATTTTAAAATTAGTTTCCACCTTTAAATTAGTTTCCGTCTTTAAATTAGTTTCCATCTTTAAATTAGATTCCATCTTTAAATTGGTTTCCATCTTTAAATTAGTTTCCATCTTTAAATTAGTTTCCATCTTTAAATTAGTTTCCATCTTTTAATTAGTTTCCATCTTTAAACTAGTTTCCATCTTTAAATTAGTTTCCATTTTGAAATTAGTTTCCATCTTTAAATTAGTTTCCATCTTTAAACTAGTTTCCATCTTTAAACTAGTTTCCATCTTTAAATTAGTTTCCATCTTTAAACTAGTTTCCATTTTTAAATTAGTTTCTATTTTTAAATAAGTACATTTTTCACAATCCCTAATTTCTTCTGCTAAAAAATATCAGGAAGTCACTTTTATGAAGAAACTGCATTTTAAAATTATACATTTTAAGATAGAAAAATATGGATGCATATATAATACAAATTGTTGTTTAAATCTTAAAATACATTTATACTGTCCCTTTAAGTTCTGTAAATTAAAGAAGAATTGAATAAAACTATAAAACACTAAATTTAGTTTTAATGGTTGACATTAATGAGTTTGCCGGAGTAAATGATGTCTACAAGGGAATTTCAATAAGTTTTTAATGTTCATATAATTTCAAATGTTTTTCCTGTTTTTGGTTTTCATAACAACCAAATGTAGAGTACACACTCATATTGGAATTCTAGACATTCTTCCAGTCAAACTTCCCAGCCAGAGCAGCTTACCAGGTATACTCTTATATTAGAAATATAATCCCAGCCAGAGCAGCTTACCAGGTATACTCTTATATTAGAAATATAATCCCAGCCAGAGCAGCTTACCCAGGTATACTGTTATATTAGAAATATATTCCCAGCCAGAGCAGCTTACCAGATATACTGTTATATTAGAAATATAATTCCAGCCAGAGCAGCTTACCAGGTATACTGTTATATTAGAAATCCCAGCCAGAGCAGCTTACCAGCTATGCTGTTATATTAGAAATATATTCCCATCCAGAGCAGCTTACCAGGTATACTGTTATAGTAGAAATATATTCCCAGCCAGAGCAGCTAAACAGATATACTATTATACTAGAAATATATTCCCAGCCAGATCAGCTAACCAGATATACTGTTATATTTGAAATATAATCCCAGCCAGATCAGCTAACCAGATATACTGTTATCTATATATAAATTTGGCTTGTTTGTCTGTCTGTTTGTTTGTCTGTTTGTTTGTTTGTATCCAATAAACGTCAAAACGGCTGAACCGATCGGGCCCAAATTTTTTGTGGGACATCTAGGGAGCCCAGGGAAGGTTTATGAATCATCAAAATTTCAAATATTTGTCTCTATCAAAATTCGATCGTCATTAAATTTTTTAAAATTTTGAAAATCCGCGAAATTTTTTGTAAAAATCCGCGAATTATTTTTGTTTAGTTTTACGATGTACACAAAGAGAACATGTTTACAATTAATTTAGAAGATGGGCGCGAAGCGCCCTCTAAGGCTAGAAAGAAGGGCGCGAAGCGCCTTGAATTTCTAGTATTAGAAATATAATCCCAGCCAGAGCAGCTTACCAGATATACTGTTATACTAGAAATATAATCCCAGCCAGAGCAGCTTACCAGATATACTGTTATATTAGAAATATAATCCCAGCCAGAGCAGCTTACCATGTATACTGTTATATTAGAAATATAATCCCAGCCAGAGCAGCTTACCAGGTGTACTGTTATATTAGAAATATAATCCCAGCCAGAGCAGCTTACCAGGTATACTGTTATACTAGAAATATAATCCCAGCCAGAGCAGCTTACCAGGTATACTGTTATATTAGAAATATAATCCCAGCCAGAGCAGCTTACCAGGTGTACTGTTATATTAGAAATATATTCCCAGCCAGAGCAGCTTACCAGGTATACTGTTATATTAGAAATATATTCCCAGTCAGAGCAGCTTACCAGGTATACTGTTATATTAGGAATATAATCCCATTTTTACCAATTCACAACGGTACCCTTGCAAATTTTGTCTGATTATTAATGTGGAAGATAACGTCGTTTTCCTAGCTTGAAAATAATTTCTTCTTGGGTTTCTTGTAGTGGAAATGTACATGTTAATTTAGTCGAGAAACTACTATTACAAGTAATAGGTTTCAAAATTATGGATTTGGGCCTATCTCTATACTTGATCAGACCAAGCTTTTAAGAGTACCGTTGTTACTCTAATATGCCTATCTATAAATGCAGACAGACATGCAGACAGACAGGCAGACAGACAGGCAGACAGACAGACAGGCAGACAGACATGCATACAGACAGGCAGAAAGACTCTTAAACTGGCTGAAAACGTTCTGTCAAGTCTAGCGGAGATGTGCTCAAGCGTAAGTCAGATTTAGATGAGACCTTGGTTTAAACTGCAGATCAGGTCTTCTTGAGATCTCGTTTAAAACGTGCTAAACAGCATTACAAGTTGAGCTAAGAACTTCAAAACGTGCTTAACAGTAGGTCGAACGTTATAAAGAGTAGGTCAGGTAAAGCTGAAATCTTGTCTTAAACGTGCTCAAAAGCAGATCAGGGTTAGTAAGGTTCTTTTTAAAAATGTGCTCAAAAGAAAGCCGAGTTAAACCCTCTTTTAAACCTGCTTTCTTGCTTAACCGACTAATTTACAACTATTTTCACTAATTATCTGCAGCCTTAAACAGAACCGATATTCTAAAATCCTGTCTTTGTTCTAATTCTACTAAATTCTGCAAATATTTTAGGTTTGGTAAATGTAAAATATCAAAATATGATATTTATTCTCAGCTAGTGATTTTGGACGAACAATAGTATGCATATAGAGAAGAGCGCTAATCTAATTAATTGTTAGTATTTGCCCTTCATTCTGCTAATCCAGATCACTCTCCCTCTTCCTATAATGACCCGCCCCAATATCACACTGCCCCTTCCCTCTTCTTATCATGTTCGTCCCATAATAAGATTAAATATCTAAAGAGTTTCAGATCGTCTTTACAGTCTTACGTTTAATGAGCAGCCCTGTATATTTACGAACTAAACGGGCTTGTGATGCCCTCCTCTTTCCTTGTCTTATCTCTTATAATTTGAAAATATCAACTTATCTGAAAAAAGCTAACACTGATTTTATATCTGAAAGGAACTGAGTTCTTGCAACAAACTCTTATTTTTTAATCTCTATATCTGTGCAACCCGATGTTGTAGACCTTTGATATATCAAACTATGAATTCTGTTGGATCAAATAGTTTTAAATTGGGTTGTGAAGATATTATGGATTAGTAAATGAAAGTTTTTAACTCAGTTCCTTGTAATGACCAAAAAAATTGGGTTTAAAAATGAAGCTTTTAAGACATTCTTTTTAAATATCTAAATGAATATATTTCAGGATATATCTTCAATATAGTTATAAAACGTTTCCTCAATGCATATCATCAATATTATGCCTAAATATAAATTATGCAAAGAAAACCCATTATTTTGAATAAAAATAAAATTTTAAATTTCTGTTTCTTTAGATATTTGTAAACCATTTTTAATGTGCGAAATATGTTCAATGTTCATCGATACATATTACATATATTATAAAAAGAGTGTCATAAAATTTTTTTTGAATAGTTGATCTACAAAAATTCATAATTTGATATATCTATATGCCTTTAAATAGTCCAAAGTATTGTAATATTTCAGAATTTAATGGTTTTCACTGAAGTTAATAGTTTTGAATAAATAGAGATATCGCCTCCAATTCTATTATCTTAAAACAAACAGATTGCAAAGATTTAGGAATGAAAAAAATTTAATTAAAAGTAAAGAGTTTTATGATTATTATTTTTAAGAGTTCTTAAAAGTTTTTTTTATGACCATCTCAAGTTTTTTGTCAACAATTTTTAAATTGTGGAAGACGATGCCTGGCCGTGTTAAACAAGTTCCACAAGATTCAACAGAATGAGATAGAACAGATACGGGGCATAGTACTGAAAAACATCTACACGTGTGATATCGATATTGACTCTAGTTCTGAACCCTATAGTAATAAGTTATAAGAAATATCTATACTGGAAGTTATTTATGCGTTTTTATAAATAATTTATAAAAAATTATTTCATACACAATATTTTTCAACTTTTTTCAGTTTAAATATACTGCATACATTCTTTTATATAAAACATGTTTTTTGGTATACAACAATTTTCACTGAATAACGCTAATCTAAAAACTTATTTATTCATGTCCATGTTAAAACCAATTATTTACAAAGAAATGGCATTCGCTCTCAGAAAACTTAGAATCGATCACAGGTGTCCCAATAAACATGGGAATTAAGTGACGACTTTTCTATCGTCTTTGATCCATGTGTCCTTTTTTCATGAACACAATTATTGTAGTATTCCAGCTTAAACATATAATATCGAAAATGCCTGGTCTTAAGATATTTAAACTCTGGTCTACATTTTACCGACTTTTGACCAACATTACCGACCCATGATTCCCCCAACAGAGGGACATTAAGTCAGTTTACATCCCTTGGGACAATAAAGTAAAATAACGACCCGCTCTGCGAAGTTTTCTTTAAAAAATTCGCACATTTTCATCTCAACAGACGATAAAATTGTGTACAACTACTTTTTCAGGAAATAAAAAGGAATCTTTGCTACAAACTCAAATATTCAAACCCCTATGTCTTTGGAACCTGATGTTGTAAACCTCTGATATTTCAAGCTCAGCATTTTTGATCTAACAGAATTCATAGCTTGAAATATCTAGGGTCTACAACATTTGGTTCCAAAGATAAAGAGATTAGAAAATCAGAGTTTGTGGCAAAGACGCAATACCTTTACTTAACCACAGGATCCCTCATTAAATCTTGCCATCAAAATATCCCTCGCTACGCTTTGTGAGCAAAGTTTGTCTTGAGAATCCAGGAAAATTAAAATTCTCCTAACTCCCCTGTAAAGTAGATGTAAATAATTATTATTTATGCAATAATTCCTTTTCATACTTTTATATTTCAGGTTGCAGCTCTTCCTAAGGGAGCCAGGATCGAAATAGAAGCCATTGCAGTTCTTGGAGATATTGATGATTATGAACTAGCTTAAAAAATTTTAAATGAACAATTTGAATATTAATGTATCTTCAAATGATCTTTTTCTTAATTTTTGATATTCATTGATTAATTTGAAAAATGTGATTTGCGAAGAAACTGATAATTCGCGTCAAACTGTAAATTTTTTATCCGTTTATCTTTGCCCCTTGATGTCATTGACCTTTCATATATAATTGTTCTATAGATCAATGGTTAAAGTTTAAAAATCAGAATTGAGGCAAATTGCCCGAACTCTAATTTCCGAATCCCAATATCTGTGCAAACTGGTACTGTCCAGTCTGGACGATATAGTTTAAAGTCAACCCACCACGTTTTATACAACAGATGTAGCCTGGCAAGATCTCTGTAATGTACAGTTTACTAATAATAGATATTGTTAACCATGTATTTTATCCTTTTCAATAAAGTTTGTAAGAAGAATATCTAAGGTTTTACATGTACACTAGAAAGGTTTAAATACACAAACAATTCATAGAAGGAGAAGATCAAATTTATGCACTGGCACGACTTTGTGACCTTGATAACTTGAAAAGTTTTTGTTTTGTTTTACGCACAAGTATATGACAAGCAATTTCTGTAATTTTTAATAAGTCTTATCGAGAAGAAAAGTTATGAGTAAAGTTATGAGTTAGATTTCAATCTAACGTAAAAGGAACTGAGTTTTGCCACAAACTCATATTTTCTAATCCCTATATCTTTGCGATATAATGGTGTGAACCTTTGATATATCAAACTTAGACAATTTGATCTAACATAATTCATAGTTTGAAATTCAAAGGTCTACGCATCGGGTTGCAAATATATAGGGGCTAGAAAGTCAGAGTTAAGAATGTTTAGAAATGTTTAGTAATGCTTAGTAATGTTTACTTACGTATAGTAATGTTTAGTAATGTTTAGTAATGTCTAGTAATGTTTGGTAATCTCTAGTAATGTTTAGTTATGTCTAGTAATGTTTAGTAATGTTCAGTAATGTTTAGAAATGTCTAGTAATGTTCAGTAATGTTTAGAAATGTTTATATTAATGTTAAGTAATGTTTAGAACTTAGATTTAGAATAATTTGGATAAAACCAGAAATGATAAATCGTTCTCTTAGCCAGAGATAAAGGATTCTTTTACTTTCTACAGATGCAAAGATAAAAACTAAATAAACCCTCTGACATGCAGACACAAGCCTTGATTAATCTATCCTGGAACCTTCATATACAGGATATCCTGGAACCTTCCTTCTCATACACAGGATATCATGGAACCTTTCTCCTCATACATACAGGATATCCTGGAACCTTTCTCCTCATATATACGTAGGATATCCTGAAACCTTTCTTCTCATATAGACAGGATATCATGGAACCTTTCTCCTCATATATACAGGATATCCTGGAACCTTTCTCCTCATATATACAGGATATCCTGGAACCTTTCTCCTCATATATAAAGGATATCCTGGAACCTTTCTCCTCATATAAACGTATAATATACTGAAACCTTTCATCTCATATATACAGGATATCCTGGAACCTTCCTTCTCATTTACTCCTGTATGTATGAAACATTCCAGTAGCAGGTTCTGTAAAGAAGCAGTGGTTCTGTCTAAGTAGCAATGGTTCTGTTTAAGTAGCAATGGTGCCACATGATTAATGTTTGAATAGAATAATTAGTGTAAAATATAAAGGATATATTGTCTCCATAATTTATTAATCAATACAAGCTGTGTCATTTATATTTGAATACATAACATTTCTACATGTTTAGATTGTTAAGCATAATGGTGGGGGTTAAAATATAACCTTTTTTGCGACATATTGCGACACATTATAACTAGTTTTAACTGGCTAAAACATGTTGGACCAAATTAAAGCGTGAAACAAAATGGCCCTATTAAGAAATATTCATATTTTATAACACAAACTGTTACAGTGTACAGTTGTACATTGTGCAATTTTAAGACAGTGTAAAAATAAAGAGGATGAAACTTCAGAGACCTGTTTTTAATTTCAAAATCATTTATTAAGCCCGTGAAAGACCAAAATCAATGCAGAAACCCAAATTCTACATTTTGTTTGTTACATCTTCATAATCATGTATTTGAACTTTTAGATTATGAAAATATTGAAATGAAAAATACCTTTCACAGGAAAATGTGATGCATCTTGATTTTCCCCAATTTTGATGTATAGTTTATATTAATATTGTAAATATTGTTGTATTCAACTAATCGTATACTGTCTCTTTATAATAATAGTCCCCCCTTCTCTACCCTGCTTCTTATATACTTGATGAATTGCTTAAGAAAACACTTATACAGAAATTGAAAATATTTTTGCCAGAAAAAGATAATTAATATAATCGATCTACGTACGTTTATATTCATAAATTTAAATGATAAAATATAACAATTAACTTTGTAATATTGAATTCTATAAACGAATGTCTGTAAAAAAAAAATAGACGTTGAAACCCATAAGCGTTCTATCTAACGTTCATGTCTCGAGAAATTGATAAAAAAAATTTGTGCCAAGTGATAATAAATACGTTCATACCATGTGACCAGAACTCTCACCAATGGCGCACGTGTCTCCATCTGTATCACGTGACCAGTATACTGCACTGTCATTGGTGGGAGTTCTGGTCTCGTGATACGGACGTATTTATTATATTTTCAATTATAGCTAATAAAAATGAAAAATTACTAAATTCAAATAATAATAGAAGCAAACCTAAGTTACTTAGGCTCCTCTAGAGATATTGTCGTTTTCAGATTGGTTGCATTTTTTCTGAATATGATCTATTTAAACCTACTTTTTTTACAGAATTGTATATATATAGATTTTCGTTTAAATTTTACACAGTTTATATCGATTTCTCGAGCCAGGAACATTAGATATAACTGTCAGGGGTCTGGATCAACTCCTAAAATGTTCAGGTTTCAGCCTATGCCTCCTTTAATTTTTCCTTTACAGTCCCTTTAAGGCACTATGGACGTTACTTGCATTTAAAAAGAGAGGCATGTTCGATGTTCAACCGTACCTTTCATAACATCTATCTGAATAACGTAAGGAAGGTATTTTTTTAATCTGAAAACTTGTCGGTATTCTGTCAATTTCCATCACTGTCTCTACATTACGTTTTAAAGACGTTTTAAAAGACTGGCATAATCAAATTTGGGCATACCCGATTTACAACAACGGTACACTTCAAACCTTTATCTGATCAGTAATGAGGAAGAAATTGCTTTTTTTAGCGTAAAACGTGGTTTAGTCTAACAATTTATAGAGTCAAAGAAAAACCACTATTGAAAATAACCAATTTGCATAGTTAAAACTAAAAATAGAAAAACCACCATTTAAAAAATAACCGATTTTTATAAGAGAAATAATGGACACCTCATTCAATGATCATATAAAGCATTTAAAGGTACCAATGTGAATCAGACATTCTTTAAATGTGCATGGTCACTTGAAAGCACGTCTAAAATCCATTGGATAAAGGATTAAATACCAATAATACCCTGTATATAATCAACTTATATCTCATATTGAGTTTTGAGCACTGTTCATATGATACAAATAACCATTGGAAACCAATAAACAGGCCAGAGTCTACTGATGGGCATCTGTTTTGAAACATTTCATTTTTTTAGACTTCACAAGAATCTGAGATGCAAATCCTATTTCAAAATTGCATATATATTAGAAGAGAAGTTTGCTTTCATAGAGTATTGTAAAGGATGAAATCTCCGAAAGAGGATTATAAAATCCGCAAAGGAGTTGGGTTGGATTCTGGACCCAGAGGAGACTCATTCTTCTATAAACTCGTTATTCATATTTACACCTAGAAGCAATTAATGTACTTCTGAAGTATTCTAAATTTTTACTATGATCAAAATGTTCTGAACGATTAGTTTATGTTTTCCGTTTTGAAAAATCGTTTTTGTTAATGTTTAAACGCCAAAAAATGCTAAAAGTCTCAAAACGGACCTCAAAATAATGCCCGTCAGTAGACGCAGAATAAGAAAAATATCAATAATATCGAATATTGTATATATCAGATTATCATAAATATTAGCTTCACACTCTCAATATATTTTACAAATATAATCATGGTTTTTTACCTTAACGAATTTCGAAGTTTTTGATCTAACGTAATTTATAGTTTGAAAAATCTGGGGTCTGCGACATTAGGTTGCTAAGATATAGAGATTGGAGGTTTTGGCTAAATATATTCTATAGACTTGAGTCCAAAACTTGTTTATGATATGGTGTTAATATAAAACACCTGTGTAAATTTTAATGTCAAGCGATTAAGAGACTTTAATTTATTTTAAACAGCTGACTCGGATTTGTATGACGGTTTAAGAAGTTCACTTATCTACCTTTTTAATATCTAGGTATCATTCTTTCTTTCTCTTAATCCATAAATCTAACAAACATACATCATATTAATTTCGGTCCTTTTCCCAGCAAGCTCTCACTTTCGATCCAAATTTGACCAATTAAACATAATTTTTTCTTCTGTTGTTTTTGGTGGTGGATGCATATTTAAGTGAAACATTTAAAAATTGTTGAATTCTAGACACACAGAAATTGAATAAATCTAACCCAATTGTTAGTTTAGAAATTGACACCATGCTCTGCTCCTTGTTAAGTCAAATATCAAGAAGATAAAGTGTTTTTCCTCGAATTTTCCAGTTTTTGCGTCCTAACTCCTACTGCAACATGTAATTAACAGAAAGTGTTGTACAATTATAAGTTATTAAGGCAATCAAATTAACCCCGCGACCACCCGGCCTCACCCACTAATCAACGTCAGTTGACTCAATCAATCCTCGGGAATTATTCACTTTATTTATGAAGGGGCTGGGAGGGGGGGGGGGAGGTTTAGTTATAATCTTCTTTTTAAAATTTTCCACATTTTTTTATTAATCTTTTTTATTGTCCTTGGAAAATCTTAAAGTTTAAGTTAAAATTTTCTTTTTAAAATTTTCCAAATTTTTTTAAAAATCTTTTTTTTTATTCTTTAAAAATTATTTTATAGTTTTGTTCTAAATAGTTGTCTTTGAAACCTTAATCTGATCAATAATGGTTTTTAGGCCGTACAAAAGTGTAATTCTTGTAATTCATCCATTGTTGCTGAAACAAGAAATGCACGAGTCACTTTTGCAGAGTAACCACAAATGAAATTTAACAGTTTTAAAAGCAAAACATAGGAATTTAATTCATTCTTCATTAAAGGGAACCGTTGTGAATCGATTATGCTACTCTATATCAATGAGGGGTTAATCAAAATTTTAATAATTTTCCATCGATTTCTCTCTGTTTGAATCGTTGTGAGTCGGTTTAGATTATGTAGACAGTTTCTTTTTTTAAAGAATTTGAATAAAATTATTTTGTAAAAGAATTAGGAATTGTTATTTCAATGCAAAATTATTAAATATAAATGAGAAGGTGACATAAATCTTAAAATCCATGAAATTCAAGGAATAGAGCTGTTTTTCTACAATTATTAAATCATATTTTTCAGAAAATAATTTTTCAGATATTACTCTAAGGTATGATTATCATACGGGATATCGAATAAATTAAGCATTGATCTCGATATCCACAACATAAACGTGCACAATTAAATAAAAGATGAAGATATATTTCCCATATGGAAAATTGTGTGTAATCCCTTTAACCAGCAAATTTTATTCAAACTGTCAAAGTTAAGAATAAAAGAAACTGGTTCTTAGAGAAAACAAGTTCCAACCGGATTCAAACAATTTTATTATTTATAATACTCTTCTATCATATATAAGAGAAAGAATATTGAAAGGTTTACAATCTTGTTTATATTTGAGATATGTGGCTAATATCAGTAAACATTCCAAATACATCCTTCACATTCTCTTTTCAAGGGAACAAATAGAAAAAAGATATATTTTAGTTATTTACTGTAAGACACTGATGGAATAAATGTGTTCTTTCTTAATGTAATAAATGGATCAGAGCAGTTGATAACTTTTGAATAAACAGCTTTGGTTTAAAAAAGATTAAATATTCTCTCTTCTCTCATTGGATCAATGAGAGATGAAAAAATTATATTTTAAAACCAGAAGAGCTAGAATGTTTCTTGCATTTATTCAAAATGCCCATCATCGACATCGAAAATTTGTTTTGTTGTGAGTTTTAAGTCCTCATTTACAAAAAAAACACGTTTTTTTCGGACAAAATGTTGTTTTCTAACGCGTTAAGACAGATTTGAATTACCCATACATGAAAAAAAAGCACAAACCGCTAAAAGATCCAGATTTCCTAGGAAGTTTAATATTTGCTTAACTGTTAGGTGTAAAGAGGGTTTATGAATATGTTACAGTTGAAGTTTATGCAGTTTGTAAAAATATTAGAACTTTTATTCCCCTGAGATTTGATGATGGGACTTTGAAAACTATTTAATTTCTCTCAAATTTACATACCAACTTTTTATGCATTTCATTACTAATGGCGAACACATTAAACTTTCAAGAGATACAAAGAGTATATTCAAAAGTAGGAAGATCTAGATAAATAGATAAATCGCGCGATATATATATATGTATATATATTTCAGTTTTTAACTTCACATTTTTTATTAAAAAAGAATTATACTAAACATAATGTTTCACGTAGATAGATTCACAGATAGATAGATATTCAATATTAAACGTTAAAAATGAACTGAACAATCGTCACAAACTCTTCTAATCCAACATATATATAATATTTATTATAAATATAATATTTAAAGGTCATTTAAAAAAATCTTAGTCTGATTTAGGTGAAACAGGTTTAGGGATAAAATTTCTATTACGTTGTATCATTTTCCAGAAAGAGTACTGATTAAAAAGTAAATTTTTCCACATGTTTAACTACAGCTCAATTTCCTGTTTTATCTAACAAAAACAGCAACATTTCTCTCATAGGAATAACGTTGAAGACTAGAAAATAAAATTAGAATTAGTACAGCTGAAACATCTAGAGGATCTATCTTACTTGAATATATGATTTATCATTGAAAGAGTAATATTAGATTAGATTAGATTAGATTAGATTAGATTAGAAAGTGTGCCTTTCCAATTAGATAACTCATTCATGACAAGAATTTAATCAAATGGATTCAAAGAATATAATACAGGGTTACCACCACAGGATGAAACTTAAAGCTGGAGTGTTCGCGAAAAATGAAAGGGGGTATATAGGCTTACGGCAAAAAATAATCGCTTTTGATCGCTACTAATCTTACGTTTATCTGTCTATAAGGAGAAAATTGTTAAAATTTACTTATGTTATACTGAAGAACGTAGCGTCCATACAAATTCAAAAACTAGTCATATCACATGTTATATTACATTATACCTTCTCTTTCTGTCAAGTTTGCAGTGGCACGTGGGTTGTTAAAATTTAGCATTGGGAGTTTATTAAGTATTCGAATTTACGTCAAATAAAAGCATGGAACGACAAACAGTGACAAATCCCTGTTTTTTGGGGACACTCTGTTAAATTATTTAAATGATTTTTATCTCTCATGCGCAACCACATTTATGGATAATTGGACGATTTTTTTGACCTTTTAGCATGATTTACATGACGTAATCAATTAATTTTTGAAAAAATTTGATTTAATATATATATTGTAAATGTTTAAAAAAAAATTTCATTAAATCAAATTAATTTATATTAAAAATCCTTAAAATGTTCAAAAATGTCCTTTTGATGAAATCAAATTAATTTCAAATATAAGATTCCCATTAAAATTGAATTAGTAAAAACCTTGTATAATGTATTATATTTAAGAAAAATTCTGATAATTATTTCTGCAGCAGTAATTAGCAAATCAGTTTTTACAGAAACTACAATTAAAAATGATGAGTCTTCAAATAGAAAAATTAGTATATCTTGTTCATTATTGGTCAGACAAAATTTTAAAAGGTGGTCTTGAAATTAGGGCCTTATCGGCACTATTTTATTTTTGTCGAATATATGTCCCTACATGCGTTAACTTTATTTATTGTAGGCATGGTTATTTTGATCCAATGAATATTGAAACATCTAAACCGATTGGACAAACATTTTTACCACTCCCATTACCACATATTTATAAAGATGATCCAGTCAGGATTATCTAATATGGATAATTCATAAAATAAAATCGTGAAAATTGAAATAAAATTTTTCTAAAATATTTTCATTGTTAGGTGAGAAAGATTAGAAAGTTGGAACCTTTATCCTCTCCGCCCCTAA